ACATTAAGGCAGATTGCACTGAAGTTATATTAAAAACTCATGCTACCTTAAATATTTGTATAATATTAAATATTAAACTAGGGTTTAATAATATCAAAATTAAAAATTAATAAATAAATAATCTGTGACCTTTCGTGCCCAACTACCCCAAATTTCTTGGCTAAAGCCTCTACCATACAAACTGTCTCTCATACCTTTTCTTATAAAATTTTTTTTAACTAATTTGAACAATGACTAAGAAAAGTAAATCCGCCCGCCGCCGAGCAGCGCGTTTTGACAAAATCAATTTATCCGACATCTCCGAAAAATCCCAAGAAGACCCGAAAGATTCTTCAATGAATGATTCCTCAGAAAACGATATCACAAATCAGTCCTCATTAGATGCGTCAAAAAAGAACAAACCGATAGTGACGAACGTCCAGGTAGTAAAACCTCCATTAAAATTAACTCCGATTCCCCAGGATAAGCAATCCCAAGCCATTCAAACCAACGCGGAAGACTCCTTGCCCCCTGGGCAAATACCCTCTATTTTAGACATGAGTTTTTTAACGTCCTCGTTTAATAAGAACAGTTTATCTCAGCCAGCAAAGGAAGCTCTGGCCATCACGGACTGTATACACCAGTTAACTCAACGAGTTGATCAAATGGATGGCAATTTAGCACATGTCTCACAAGCCTTGATCTCATTAACTAACAACGCGGTAACTACTAACTATATTAAAGCCTTGATCGATAAAATATGTCAAAAAATCGAAGCGTGTGAGGAAAACAGTCGAGATCGGATTACGATGATAGATAATCGCGTAGTTCAAATGGAAACTCAGCATAATCAACTTCTGAATAAGGTCCAATTATTTGATTCCCAAGCTATCGCGTTCCAAGAATTGCAAGTCCATGAACTACGGGACGAAGTTGTCAACGGAAACCAGGCAAATTCAGCTATGAAAAACGAAATCGGAAAAATAGCAAGCGCTACGACTGAGTTAGGAAAAATGCTAACCGGGGCGCAAATCGCGTTACGGACGACGCTGAATCACACTTCTAGAATTGCCAAAGTAGTCGCGTCGGTATCGGAAATACGCGAAAAATTATGGACTGAAGAGGAAGTGAAAGATTGGTCAATACTAAACCCCAACTTCATTAGCCCGAGTTCAGCCAGCGACAATTTAAAAAACATGTCTGCCAATGAAGAAAGATTATTTCAGATAATTCGAGAAATTCCACGTAGGTCACTGGGAGTACCCGTCTCTGGTGCCACTAGAACAGAGCCCACACCAGCACAGGCACAGTTACCAGGATTAGGTGGCTCACCAGCACATCACTCGAGCCGAGTTGAAGAGTCCAATAATTCAACAGAGGACCAAATTGCTGAACTCTGGCAGGAACTAGAGAAACTTGGAGCAAAGGACCAATCTCAGGCTCTACCAAGAGGAGCTGAAGATAACACCAGGAGCAACTTAACAGGAAATCGATCGCGTGATCAGGAAAATTTGGTTGCGCTAAAAAAATTGGCGCGCGCCCGCAATCTAGGTTTTCCTGAACAGGAAACCCAGCCTAAAATATATTTGCAGGAATTACAGGAGTTCAAGGAGGAGCAGCAGATGACTGACAGGGACGCAATTAGCCTAATAAAGGCTTTATTTGCTAAAACGCAAGCCCAATGGTTACGTTTAAGTACTACTAGATGGACCACGTGGGAAGATTTCGTGAACGCATTTACTGTCTATTTTATTCATCCCCGGGCAGATCCGGAAATCAGTGCAGAGATTTACAATAAATATCAAGCAGCTGACCAGGAAGCGCGACTATTCATTGATGATATGCAGAAACTGTTCATGGAGATGGTTACTCCACCATCCGAAGAAGTCCAAGTTAACATCATCTCTCAGAGACTAACTAAACAACTCCAAGTCGAGCTAAGAGCTTCGTTAACCAAATTCACGGAATATATCGGTTTTCGTTTAGCAGTTAACATAGCCACAACCAACTTACAATATTTAAAGAAGGCCTATGATGAAAACGAGAAGCTCTTTGTAAAAAAAAAAATCACATTCACAGTTATCTGCCCAAGTTCGCGTAATCCAATCACCTGAGATAATTCAATTAGATGATGAGGAAGTGCTCGAGGATACCGAAATTGACTCATCCATTAACTACGTAAAAAACAACTATCCACAACGCAAGGGAAATTTCACACGAACACACGGATCTGAGTACCGACAAAATAAAAACGGTGGAAGACACGTGAGCTATGCTGCGGATGTAAAAGACTCAGACCTCAACAGAAGTCCGTTGGCTAGCAGAGAGAGTTCACCAAATCGAGGTCCAGCTGAAGACTACGTGTGTTTTAACTGCGGAATGGCAGGCGACCATTACACAAGATACTGCACCAACGAAAGACAAGAAATGTGCACTAGGTGCAAAACACTTGGCCTATCAAACGCGACTTGTCCCTGCGATTCAAAAAACGCGTAAAGGGCTCAATTAGCGCCGAAAAGTCCGAACAGTTGAGCCCGAAAAATCTAATTCCTCCAAAACCCCCCAATCATAGCGATACTAAACCCGAAGCCCAGTTAGTAACTTACCAAAATAATAAAATATTAGTTTCAGATTGTGAAGACGACTATTTTACAGACGAAACGATTTTAAGTGACGGTAAAATGGCCATACCTTATCGCGTAACTCAAGCCAAAGGATTTAATCAGTCTCTTAGATGTAGTTTAAAGGTTGGGAAAATCCCTATTGAGGCGATTTTTGATACAGGCGCGAGTAAAAATTTTATATCAAATCAATTATACGAGAAGGTTAAAGAGAACGCGTGTAAAATCAAGAGAAACGTTACAGGAGTCAAATATATCTTAGCTGACAACTCAATAGTTAGTGAAGACTTTAGGGTATGTTTACCAATAACTATCGATGACATTCTCTGGAAGGAATGGTTTACTGTTTTTCCAGAGATGCCAGATGACATGATATTGGGACTTAACATGATGTCCAGACGAGGTTTTAAATTAGACTTAATTGACAATAAATGGACATTTCGAGAATCAAAGGTACTTCATGACATCGATGTTGTGAAGGACGAAGAACGCGTTTGTAGATTGTTAAGACTGACTGATAACGAGACCGACATACTAGAAAAGTTTTTGAGTCTTCAATTCGAAAAAATGAATTTAGAGAAACTGGGAGTCACAGACTTGATTGAACACGACATAGAATTAACCAGCAACAAACCTATAGTTACTAAACAATATAGACGGTCCCCTAAAATGATACAATTACTACATGATATAGTAGACAAGTTAGTCGAGCAAGGTATCATTGAAGAAAGTATTAGCGAGTATTGTAGCCAGCCGGTAATTGTAACACGTAAAAATGGCGAACCAAGAATGTGTGTAGATTACCGCGGTCTAAATTCAATTACCAAAGACGTTGCTCATTCACCTAATCGAATGGATACATTACTAGACGCTATACATCGCGCAAAATTTATTAGCAAACTTGACTGGCGTAATGCATATTACCAAATAAAATTAAGCGAGAGAAGCAAACCATTTACGGCATTCGCGGTACCAGGTCGTGGATTAATGGAATTTAAATACATGCCCTTTGGACTGAAAACTGCCCCTATTACATTTATCAGGCTAACAGATAAATTAAAAGCAAAAATTAGACAGGAACTTCGCGCCCGAGAGTTACCTTTATGGTGGGAATCTTTTATTCAGGCTTATATGGATGATTGGGTAATTGCTACGATTACTTTTGAACAACACCTCACTATGTTAGAAGTTGTATTTAAGGTATTACGCGAAGCCGGAATATTAATTAATCGCGAGAAAAGTGAATTCTGTAAGGAGACAGTAAAATTTTTAGGATTTATTATTACTTATGAAGGCATATCGCCAGATCCAGAGAAAATAAAAACTATTGTTGAATATCCCAGGCCAACGACGCGTAAACAAGTCAGACGATTTTTAGGGCTAATAAACTGGTACCATAGACACTTAGTAGAAGTTGCTCGAGCTCAAGGTCCATTGAATAAGCTCACCAGCGAGAAAAATCTCTGGAAATGGGAAGAAGCCGAAGAGACATCATTTCAAGAGTTAAAACAAGCTATTCGGAAAGCACCAACTTTAGCCACACCTGATTATGAATTACCATTCATATTGTATACCGACGCGTCTGACACTGGCATCGCTGGCATCCTCACTCAACAAGGAGATAATCAAGAATACATGATAACCGCTATCAGTCGCCCTCTAAATAAACATGAACGAAATTACACGACGACTGAAAAAGAATGATTGGCAGTACTATGGTCAGTGCAAAAATTACGCGGTTATTTGGAAGGATACCCTTTCACAGTCATCACGGATCATGCGAGCTTGATCTGGTTAAAAAATATCAAAGATCCTCGAAGTCGACTAGCTAGATGGGCTGCAGAGCTATCTGGACTACCAGTAACAATCGTACACAGGAGGGGCACAGAAAATGAAGCACCAGACGCGTTATCACGGACTTATGAACATCTTGAAGTTGATGACTTATCAACAGAAGAGGAAATGATCACGAGCTTCCGAGTCAAATCTACCAACTGGTATGACAGGAAGAAGGATGAAGTAAATAAATTTCCAGAGCGTTTTCCATTTTGGAAAGTAGTCGATAACGAACTTTATTATTACCGCGATCGTGTCAAACAAGCCTACCCAATCAAACAATCGGAGGGTTGGAAACGCGTGATCCCCGATGACGAGAAAGATAACATTTTAAAAGATAATCATGACCACCTGTTAGCTGGACACCCGGGTATCCAAAAAACATACGATCGAATTGCGTCATTATTTTATTGGCCAAACATGTATAAAGACGTTTGGCAGTACGTTCAACAATGCCAAACATGTTTATTACAAAAACCTGATACAAATCCCCCAATTCCCAAACCAGGTAGACGACCAGTCACAGAACCTTGGGAGTGTATATCCATTGACGCCATAGGACCTATGCCTCGTTCCGTAAGAGGCAAAACTCACATTTTAGTCGCTTATGATGTTTATACTAGATACCTCGAAGCTGAGGCAGTTAATACACCGACTGGGAAGGGTGTTGTTGATTTTTTACGTAGAGTATTTGCCACCTGGGGAACCGCTCGAGTCATTATCTCAGACAATGGGACTGAATTTTGCAATAAACTCGTTGAAGAGTTCTGTAATGATCGAAAGATTAAACATGAACTAACTCCAACATACCATCCTCAATCTAACCCAGTAGAAAGAGTCAATAGAAATCTCAAAATTATGATTAGATCTTATTTAATTAAAAAACAAAATATTTGGGATCAATATCTTTTTGAATTAAAGTACGCGTATAATACATCGATTCATAGTTCTTTAAATGTCAGCCCCGCTTATCTTAATTTTGGTAGGGACCCGATTTATCTAGACCAATATAGAGACAAACTTGATGTAAAAGTTGTTGATGATTCTAAAACTAGGGAGGACATGCTGAAGTATATTGATGAAATGAGACATTACGTAGAAAAATGTATGAATAAAACCCAAGAGCGTAGACGAGCGTTAGATACACCGAAACCACCCATTGACCTCCTGTTAGGCACAGAAGTTTATATTAGAAATAGAAAACTAAGCAAAGATATTGATGGTATCTCTTCTAAACTATTACCTTATATGAGAGGGCCTTTCTTTATTAAATCTTATATTTCTGCTTCAATGGTTGAGCTGGTGAATGAGAATGGTGAGAGCATGGGAAATTTCCATATTTCTACTTTAAAAATTCCAAGTAGATCGAATAGAATTAATAAAAGAATAATCAACACAGAGAAAATGGACAACAGCGAGTCAACAGGAGTTCCTGATCTGAAAGCATCGGTCTCACTTATGCGGCGAATCAAGAGCGAGCTAAGACCCAGCTACATCCACTGGCAATACGCGGACCAGGATGAATCACTGGAACTTGACAATTCACAATCACAAGTCGAGCTAGTGGAAATGGAAACAAGTGACTCCGCATCGATAGACCAAGTCACTGTAGTTTCACAGACAAGAACTGACATCGCAGTCGTTAGTGACCTAGACACATTGCTGAATTTAGAAATCCCAGAGTCAGAAGCAGGTTCAAAGCCGAGCAAGCCAGCCCAAAAACCTGTTAACAAATCAAACGCGTACATGGACGCGAAGACTTTCTGGGAAAGATTTCCTTGTAAGGGACCCGCTCACATCGGTGGTCCGGCTACTTCAGAAAACGCTTCCCTCAAGCTAATCAAGGAAGCTTCAGGAATCAGCATTTATCAAGAACTAAAGAGCAAGCTGGTTTTAGTAAAGGAACCTGGAACGCGAAACATCAACCTTCCCGAACCAGGTATGGTTAATACAGAACCACTGTTGGTAACCCATCATGAGACTCTCGGAGAAATTCGCCGAGAATCCAAGATTGACATTCGCCAAACCATGAGGAAAAAAGAATGGGACGCGTATATCACCAGGCAAGTCAGTCACTACTTGCAGCAAAATTCACCGAAAACCCGGGATGTTGAGACCCAGACAGTGGAAACTCGAAACTTCCCGTTCACTCCGCGGGGATGTATTAAGTGTAAACAAATCGGTCACGCGTACAAAAATTGTCAAAACGATGCATTTGGCGAGGAGTATTGCACTAACTGCTGGAAAATTGGTCATCGCAACGCAACTTGCCCTTTCCGAGACCGCAAGACAGTTGAATGGATGCGGCATCACTGTTTCGCCTGCAAGACTCCACACCCGATGTATGATCCACAATGTGGACGCTGTTTGACGCGCGTAGGCAAGGCCAAGGACGACATGGGAAGTACCCAATACCTTCCGTAAAGTGTCCCAAGACGTCGATAAGATTAATTAACTCCAAGAAAACGATCTACGAGTAATTAACAAGTTCATTTTATTATTTTTTGAGTGTCAGTTTATTAAAAAAAAAAAAAAAAAAAAAAACGTTCATATCTATAAAACGCAATAGTATGTTTAATTTGTTTATTATTGCTTATAGAAAGTTAGAAAGTTACAATTATTAGTAAGATTTATCCAAAGTTCACTTATAAATTTGTGTTTTTTTTTATTTCTTATTTTAAGAGTGTTTAAGATTAAAATATCGCGAGGGAGTTGATCTCCTTGTGCCAAAGTTCTATTAAAATTAAGCCAACGTTGGAAACGACCTTGTTATTAAATATGATAATTATCACACAATTAAACTTGTTATTTAAAATTATTAAATAGAATCAAGGTGCCATATAACGTATTTTTTATATCTAGAATAAGTTGCTACATGGTTATTGTTTATTCAATGTCATAAAAAAAAAATTATAACCAAATTTGTAATTGACAGTTGTCAAATAAAAGTAAAGATTGGTAAATGAACAGCAAAGATTAATATCGTTAGGATTAGAGATAGCAGCTCAAAGTTTGTTTCAGGTGCATTGATCCACCGCTCCAAATGGATATTGAGCTAGCCACAACTAAAGGTGTAGCCACCTCAAGCCGGGGGGACTGCAACGTGGCCAGTTGGCTCACATTGGGTAAATGCCAATTTACCACCTGATACTAAACGTTTGCCGATAACATAGATCAGATTATAAATTAGATTATAATCGCTAATAGTACGAAAATCATTTGAGAGTGGCGCTAAACGTCTCCCCACTTCTCAATGCTAAAATATGTACGCGGAAGCCGCGTGCAACCAGTCTTTGTTCGACCCCCATAATGTATACTTCTGTAATTGATATATTTCTTGAAATATAAGTAATTATTTTTACCGTGTTACAACGTAATGTTCGGTATTTTATTATACTACACCGTTTATTAAATAATAACGGCATTTTAATCCATAATAGTACGATACGACTCTGATTATCAGTTAACAAGGAGTATATCGTACATTAATTAAATAATACGACGCACATACAAGATAAATTCGCTTGGCATGTCGTGTACTCAAGAGGTCTTGAGTAGTCAGCCATTTTGTTGAGAAAAGCGTCGTTTCATTGTTCGAGGAATATCTTGGTTGATGGTCACCTCGATTATTCGTCTGTTCCTGATCCAGTAACCGGCCCAGCTGCAGCCACGAGGAATCTACCACCGCTGGACAACGTTAAAGCACACCGAAGTGGTAGTAGTACCTGTTGTAAGTCAGGTGGTATATTGGTAAGAATTGGACGCGGTATTGAACTTACTTGAGCTGTATTTTTCAATATTTGTATTTGTCGACCATTTAGCTCTATTTTTCTAACTAAGCGATCAGCGGAGCAGTACGCGGTAGAGGTTGGTTTTGTGTCGGAGCTGAACCCACTTTTCAACGAGTATCGCCACCCACGATTTGCCCTGGACCATATTCTTTACGCGAATTAAATCAATTTAGCTATTTGTAGCTTTGAAAGCTATCGACTTGGTCCGCCGCAAAATCTAAAGCTACAGGCATCTGGAGCAGCATCGACTCTTATAAGCCACGGCTTCGAGTTGGTTACACTCTGGGTGTAACGGGCGTGTCTTTTCGGCCCAGTTCGTAGAGTTTATTTAACTAAAATTTAGATAATTTATTTCATACTTAATTAATAATTTAAATAAATTTAAGTAATTTATTTTGTGAAGTAAAAATTTGTTGTCTCTACGAACAGTCGAGACCAGCCACGTTTCAATATATAAAACGGGTAAAACTGCCATTTCCTCGTGTCAACCGTCTGACCCGTGCCGCTCATGTTTATCGTGCGGCCCGTGCCGACGTGCGAGTAACCACAGTTAAATAAAATATCCAACAAAAAAAAGAATCCATCTTACTTTCTGATTACGTTATTGATTATAACGTTTGGAAAATTATCATCGACAATTGCTCGATTTTGAAGCTCTCTTATGACCGGTTCCCGATTTTGAATATCAGGTCTTGGATGGTTGTGCTCACCATTCAGTTCAATAGTACCATCGGCATTTTTCCATAGCTTTGCTCGGCAGCGATAAGTAGTTATTCGAGACGAACAAACGTAGCGTTTCCTAACTTTTGTTACGTATCTTGAATCAATATGAAAAGTGAAGCCACCTTGATCTAGACGACGGGTGTTTTCCCGATGACCAGGAGTTTCCATCTTCGAATGGACCAACAGTTAAGGTATATCAAGCTAGACTGTCTGTAGTACAAACATAATTCCACTTAATGTAGAAAAATTAAGTTCGACTGCGCAAGACTGTATTAGTCCTGCCCACTCAGGTGAATCAGCCAACCACAGAACTTCTTTACTGAACAGAAATACAAAAAATAAAAAACTCTATGGATATTTATCGCAAAGACAAGCTTTGTGGAGTTGTTAAACTTCAGGTTATTGTCTGTATACGAGTTAAGTCTCTTGGTGATTTTGAAAAAAATAGTAAAATTAAAAAACAAAGGTTGCATTCTAATCAGCTTTAGATTGCAGATAAATATCGTGTTTACAAGGTAAAAAATATGTATTATATTATAATAATAAAGTATAAGCATCTACGAAAAAAAAATATCTAAAAAAACAAATATATTCTGTTAAAAATTTTTGTTTAAGATTTTATGAACTTTCAGTTAAAAATAATTTATTGTTGGTTTTTTGATGAAAATAATTTGATCAAAAATTAATTTTATTTTGTACCGCTTGGACCACCGGAATGTTGATTTATTTTTCCCGCCAAAAAATTCTCCCACCGCAACAAAAGAGGATGTTACTATAGTTTTTTGTCATTAGGTAAGGTAAAATAGTCCTAGGCTGTAAGCTTCAAGAGCGACGTAAAAGCCATCAGTAGTTTGAGACCCATGCGTTGAGCTTTAAGTCCATTCATTCAGTTGACTTTCTTCCGAAAGTTTGTATTGAAATCAGCTTCAGATTGCAAAGAAACATCGTGCTTACAAGGTAAAAAAAATGTATTATTTTTAAATAAAAAAGTATAACCATCTAAAAAGATAAATATCGGTATATAAGAGAAATAAGAAAATAAAAATTGCATAGAGAAAACTAATAAACTGTTGTTTATGAGATGCGCTTACATTTCTAATTTTTATTAATATATTATTGTTTAGTTGATAAATGTTATAATTCAAACAGTCTAAATATTTTTTAATTAAATAATTTTCGTACTTAATATAATGAATGTAATTTTGTGGATTAAATTATTATAATTAATATTGTGTTAATTGTAATGCCGGGAATCAGATGTTTTTAATTTTGTTATAACTAGTTCAGTCGTGTACGGAATTTTTACCATCTACAATAGTTCAAAATATTGTTTTAATATTAAAAATTAATTTTTTGCACATGAAATGAATCAAATTAGCGTATTATAACGATAATTTTATTTGAAGAAAATAACAACAATAGTGCTACTGATTCATTGTTTTAGAGAAAACATTAGTGAATATAATGTGCTGAAAAAAAAAAATAAAAAAAAGAAGAACGTATTTGGACAGTATTGAGGCGCGCTAGAACTATAGTCTCAGTCATTTGCATTATTTTTCTTTTGTCCAAGCATCAATTTAATTTTTCGAGTTATTACTGACTACAAGGTACCTATCGAAACGATAACCAGTGATGTTTTATTTATTTTCAATTATGTTGACTTTCCTATCGTATTAACATAAGTAAAATATTAAAAAATAAAAGAAAGAAAATTGGATTGAGAAAATTAATTAATGGCTGTTTAAAAGACGCGCTTACTTGATATATTTATTAGTTTGATAAAAATTGATATAATAACTTAATCAATTATTTTTTGCATATGAAAAAAGAAATGTTGTGTAGATATTTAATTCTAAATAAGCTTCACGTGTTTAAACAGTATAGACAGTACAGCGCTAAGGCTAGTTTAACAGCCGGTTCAGCTACTATTGCAACTTTATATTTTCCACTTAGACAAAGGAGAATTTTGAAAATAATTCTCAGCGACGTAATAAATTTTTTAATTATCTATTTCGTAGCAGAGCGTTTTTTTTTTTTCAAAATTCTCATTTATTAAAAAAAAAAAATAGAAAACTGCAATAGCTTTATAATCATAATCATGAATGCAAAAAGGATAGTACCATTTCTTGTAGTGAGTGCGACGCGAGAATAAAAAAGGGATCGGCTGTTAGTCTATTGTTTGCTATATCCATAGCGTTCTCTTTCGTTAAATCACATGATAAATTTTTCAAGATATTTTTACTAAAACTATAACTACTTGTTAACTATACTGAAATAATAACCAGTGTAGATTTATTTTTATCCTTTTCTATTCATTCTCTTATCATGCTTATATCATAGAATATTAAATTATATACGCCGACACAAAAGCGGAAATTATTGATAGATAACTACATGGTTTTTATTTTTATTGATTTGATTCAAATACTTATAATAAATGATTTTTTCTTAATTTCAGAATTTTGAAAAAACAAAATGAACCCTCTCTATCAAGAGAATAACGGCTTCAGATTTATGAAGGATCTGAGGCATCATAATGATGCTGGCCAAAGATACGTTTGTACGTACATTGATAACGATATGACTTATCAAGTAATTTTTTTTTCATTATCAAAATAAAAAAAACGTAACCATAAAGTAATATTATATTGAATTAATTAATTATAGTGTACACCTATGGTTCCGAAGTCCTCGCTATTGCTCACGGTTATGATACGCCGAGGATCAGAGGTAAGCAGTTACTGATAGATATATTATTACTATAAATATTTTTTTTTTCAATCTGTCATAAGTTATTTTTATTAATTTTATTTACAGGTGGTGCCAATGTTATTTGTTTTATGCAGCGAGAGTCGGCAGGGCTGTTCAGCAATTTATGGGAGTGGATTCGTGCAAAAGTCCCCAATATTCGTTCGAACTTGAAGACAATCGTGTGTAATAGCGATGATGCATTGGAACTTTCAATACATGCGTCGATTCCACGAGCTGAAATAAAAAGAACTTGGATTACTGTAGTTCGGGTAATATTTTATTCCGTTGAAATATTCTTATTATAATTAAAATTATTTTTTTTTTTTTGGTTAAATCAATTTTTGGTTTAATTAATTCATTAATTAATTAATTAATATTTCAGGCAATACACAGGAGGTGGAATACTCTAGATCTCCCAAAGCGTGGTAGCAATCTAAATCAGATGCTGTATTACGCCAGTGCACTACCCTTCGTACCTCCTGGCATGATGGAGCGTGCAACAACTGTCATTGAGGGAATGTTTGCTGCTCATGAGCAGAATCATTGTCAGTTCAGAGAAATGAGTAAATTTATAAGAACCGATATAGTACCACAAACATACAATTTTTCAATCTGGACAGTACCCTGGAAGGATAGGTGTCCAGAAGAAATTTTGAATTTCGCGTTACTAAGTCATTTCAAAGAAAACCATCCTTCCATGAATACATTTATTGGTGAGTTAAGATCAAAAATAAATAAATAAAAAAATTAATTAAATTATTAATTAAAAAAATATTTGTGTAATTCTAGAAAAATTGCCAGCATTAATCGAAAAAGGTTCATCACTAATGGAGAAAGAATTCAAAAAAAACGATTAATATTTGCCAGACTGCAGAAATGTTGGACAATAGATTGTTATTAAATAACTCGTTCATTCGAGAATTTCTTCAGATTATGGGTTTTACCCGCCCTTTAATACATGCTTTTATCAACGAAGCCATTGATCGGCGATTAAGTAAGTATTTACATTGAAGTTTTCAATGAACAATGATTGAAAATAATAATAATTATTATTCTAAAATTAAATTATTTTTTTTAAGATTTTTATGACGACTTTACTGATGGGTATCGTATGATGGTAGACAGAAACCCAATGGGACTGATCCCTGATCTTGATGAATTGGCAAATTTTAATCCAATTGAAGTAGTCCACGAAGCGCCGAGAGAATACGCCGAAGTTGCAGGTATAGCAGTCGTTGAAAACAACTCCGTTGGACCTGTCCATGAAGGAAGAAACGATGAGGCTGAAGTTCCAGGCATGGCAATCGTTGGAGAGAATCAAGTTGGACCTGTTCAAGAAAGAAGAAACGATGAGGCTGAAGTTCCAGGCATGGCAATCGTTGGAGAGAATCAAGTTGGACCTGTCCATGATGGAAGAAACGATGACACTGATGTTCCAGGCATGGCAATCGTTGGAGAGAATCAAGTTGGATCTGTTCAAGAAAGAAGAAACGATGAGGCTGAAGTTCCAGGCATGGCAATCGTTGGAGAGAATCAAGTTGGACATGTCCATGATGAAAGAAACGATGACACTGAAGTTCCTGGCATGGCAATCGTTGGAGACAATTCAATTGGACCTGTCCATGATGGAAGAAACGATGACACTGAAGTTCCTGGCATGGCAATCGTTGGAGACAATTCAATTGGACCTGTCCATGATGGAAGAAACGATGACACTGAAGTTCCAGGCATGGCAATAGTTGGAGAAAATTCAGTTGGACCTGTCCATGAAATAAGATATGATAACGCTGAAGCAGCAGGAATAGCTACTCCAGTACCTGTTGCTTTAATTGCTCATGATCAAAAAGCTTTAGTAGATAACGACGAGCTGTTTTATGTTGGGGAGTTTGAGCTATTAGATGAGCCATATGAAAATGATTACATTCATGATTCAGCTCATCTGCAAGTGTTTGACGACGACGAAGCCAAGCGGGACTTGGATTTATGTTCCGTGTGTCATTTAAATGCGAAAAAAATGCTTTCTTTCCTTGTGGGCACCATTGCATATGCGACGAATGTTTGTTTAAATTAAAGGAAAAATATCGAGTTGAGAATTGCCACCGGGCTAATTACATAATACATTGTATTATCTGCCGTGCTCCCAGTCAAAGCATTTCGAGAATTCACGGTTAAACGCGAGTCGGTTGATGAGGAAGCTTGGTCCGAGTGCTATCTATAAAAAATTTCAATTAACCAAGATTATTGAAGATGTGAAGATTTTATTTATTGTTAATGGTATTTTTTTATAATCCTCATTGTAACATTCCTTTTTTTAAACATAATGTTTTATTAAGGTAGTACTACCGTTACCACAAGTGTCAAATCCCAAAACCTAACCTTATTTGATTAACATAGTAGATTTCCCTATACTAAATTACGTTGGAGAAAGAGAGACAGAGATAAATTTTGAATGTTTTTTATTAATAAATATTCTCATATTCTTGGAAACCATACTGATTGTTACTAAACATGTTCTAGATGTTATTTCCTCTCGTTGTTTTGATTTTTATAAGAATCTGAACGTCCAGTTTTGTGAAATAAAATAAAGTCTGTGATTCTCCATAAGGATCGATCATGAATAAAAAAGAAAGAACACCAATTTATTTACATCAAAGTGTTTAAAAAAAATTTTTTTTTTCTTTCTACACGGTGAGAAATTTCTGTAGAAATTTATTACTATGCATACATAATAAGACTGAACCTTAATGACTCAATTCAAAATATTACCATAAAAATTTAAGAATATCATATTGTACCAATCAATATTTACTAGGGACCATAGTAAATTTGACCATGTAACTTTTACATAAACATATATAAAAAATTTTCGTAAACTGACTGAACAAAAACTGTGAGTGTGCTTAAAACTTTTCATTATAGTTCCATAGTAAAATTTCTGTTGCTCAGTCGACAATAAAAATTTATAAAAAAATTTGACATTTAGTCACGTGTACTCGGTTTAAATTTAAAATTGTGACTATGAAATTTTCAAATGTCCCAAAGTAAACGTATGCGCGTCAGTCGCGACGCACGCTCTTTCATTTTTTCGTGCTGCTTTGTTGTAAGATTCCTAAATAATAAAATATATAATAATTTACCGTGAAAAATTAAGATGAAAACAAACATTCGATGGTTAACCTGCAACCGACACTTTTCTAATAATATATTATTATTATAATAAAAAATAATTTAAAAGTTATACATTGTGTTTATAATTATTTATAATAAAATTAACTGCCAAAATAAATCCTACGTTCAAATTAAAAAAAATAGAAAACAAATAAAAAAAAACTATATTT